TAGCAGAAGTAGTCCCTTGAGCCAGGCAAGCTGAGCCCAATCCCACAAAAAAAAAAAAAAAAAACAGCTCTGCAGCCAACCCCCCCTTAGTTTGCATATGTCTAAAGGTTAACACTTCTATCAGCCGCTGGCCACACTACCCGTATACCGGCAGTTTGACGGCACCAAGTCCCATAGAACCAGAGCAAATGTGGCAATCTCCGACCGATCGCTGGATCAGCGCGCGTAAGTGTCCCAGGCTAGTACACACACGAAAATACTGGTACCCCGTTGCGATGTCCAATGAAACAAGTTGCGGCGTCACCATACCAATTCCGAACCTTGAACTAGCCAACTAGAACTTGTCTCGACGTTATATCTCAGCAATCCGTACCTGTCAATGTCAAACTCGGATCACTCAGTCAGGCTCGCTGTAACTTTTACCATATCGAAGCCGAACCTGATATAACCATCCGGGGTTCCCGTGCCTCGCGCCGTGTCGATACCGATCCAGTACCAAGTCTTAAAATGATGCTGTGGCGTGTACCACGCCAATGCCGAACCAATACTGTACCTGAAACATGTCGAAAACGGCAAGATGCAGTGGCGCGGTAATAGTACCGAACCTGAAGTAAGCCGTCACAATGATCCTGGACCTGAAAATAATTCACCGCAAAGGTTTCGAAATAAACTGCCGTGAGGACGTCGAACCTGAAACGAAACACCGCGATGCCACCGAACCTGACCAAACCCGAAATCCAGTACCGGACTGTTGTGCCATGCGGATGCCGAACCCGTACAATCATGCCATAATAACCTGTCCCGAACCTGATATAGAATGCCGCAACGTTTTCGGACCTGAAAACAAACTGCCGCCAAGGTTCCAAACCTGGAATAACTGTCGTAGTGGCCCCTGTCCTAAGAATAAATCACCGCAGCTGTCCTAAACCTGAAAACAAGTCACCGTAGTGAGACAGCTGTCACTGGGCCCATACCGTACCTGAAGCACGTTAGACACTAGGACGTAGCCACTCCGTAACAACCCTCGTATCCGTACCGAACCAAACACCATAGTCGACCCAAGGCAGCACCACCCCATGCTGTCCATGCGACTCATGCTCTCAGAACATCTCAACTGCGGTAATGTTAGTAATCAAGCACACCAGGGAAAGCGTCGCAGGGAACCTCGACCATCGACAGTAGTGTTAACTTGTTAAAATCCGGGGAAAATGATCAATCCGGAGTCAGAGCTGATGGCGGGTAATCGAGGCGAAATTAGGCCAATCTCCCAATAGTCATGGGGTCCCGTCCCTTTCATCGTTTTTCATCATTCTTCCCTTTCCTTAATTTTATTGTCGGAATTAGTAAATTAACTGTAAGTTCCCCAAAATTAAATTTCGAGAAATTTTAAATAAATGACCGAATTCCTTTTGTTTCTTTTCTCTTTTACCATTTTTAATCTTTTTCTATGTTTTAAATTTCATTGCCGGGAACATAAAATAACAAGGGTATTCCCCTTTGAATTAAATGCTGTAAAAAATAAAGAAAATAAGGGATATTATGTTTTTCCCTTCTCCCCTTCTGGTCGTAATCCCTTTTCCCCATCTTTAATTATGGTACTAGAACAAAAATTTGAGGCCTCATTTCGGCCCCGGTCGTATGCCGCAAAAAACGTTGCTGCGAGGTCAGTTCTCGCGATGCCTCTCTGCGGCAGGCCAATCTTTTTTTTTCTGTCGTTGGCCCGAGAAGGGTGCCGTCCCGCCAGTTTGTCCAATGCGGACTCTCCCGTTTGATCCTCTTGAGCACGAATAACCATTTCTTCTTTCTTCCTAGAGCTAACCCTTTAACCTTTCTGTTCTCTATTCTTTTTCTCTTCTTGGAGCTTTCGCCTGCCTCGAATCGTCTCAAGGGATCTCCATCCTCCATCTTTGCCTTCCCCTTTCCTTTGGGGCCCGCCAGCGATAAGGTGGGTGCAGGCCTGGGTCTAAACAACTTTAACCTAGCGCCCGCCACTGGGTCCTTCCACTTAGATGCATCCAATTCTGCTATCATATATGCACTCCAGTCGAGTGCCTCAACCACTCTGTAAGGTCTCATCCATCTATTTGCGAGTTTTCCGATCCAATTTCTTTCCAGCGCTGCATCGTAGAGAAGGACCATATCTCCTACACTCACCCTCTCCTTCCTGATTCTCATTTTCTTATCCCATCTCTCTTTACCTTTGTCTCTTTCCACTGCCAGACGATCTGCCGCTGTCATAAGGTTATCTTCCAAACCGTAGGCTATCTGTCTTGTTCGCGCAGCTATGAGTTCCTCTCTGGACATCTCCTCCGCCCAGTCGACGGTTGTCCAGCTGTCGACGTGAAACTCTATGGGAAGCGGACAATGTCGCCCAAACCACAAGGTGTACGGKGGGTAYCCGGTACTARCCCGGACCGTGACGTTGTCSRCCCATATTGCGTATCGAAAATATCGTGGCCAATCACTGTCCTTACCCTTGCACCACTTGGACAATGACGCTATCAGAGTCTGGTGTCCCCTCTCTACTGGGGAGTTTGACTGTAGGTGATAGGCGGTGGCTATCGAAACTCTCGCCCCGGCTTTCCTGAACACGCTCTGAACCTCGTCGGCTAGGAATTCCGCCCCTCTGTCCATCACTATCTTGCTGACACAACCATACCTAGATAAGTACTCTAGGACAAAGTTCCTTACTTCCTTTGCCGCCTTACTCCTGATAGGTCTACCGTCCACGAACCCAGTGAAATCGTCTCGTAGGTTCACAACGTAGTTCATATTGCCTACCCCTTTCGGCATTTTCACTAGATCGATGTGTACCTTCTCTCCTAGTCTGGTCGGATAGGATGGATGAAGTGGCTCTTTGTATTTCACAAGAGCTCCCTTCTGGCACTCTTCGCAGGTCCTACAATACCTCTCGACGTCCTTATACTGTCCTTCCCACCAGTACAACCTCCGTACCTTTTCGTAGGTTCCTTTGACTCCCCTGTGTCCTCCGACTACCCCGTCGTGAAGCTCCGCAACTATTGTTTGTCTCTCCTCAGGGTCACAGACTACTCGTAAGGGCATCCCCAAGCCACCCGGCCTTCGAAACAGATGGCCAGCTCTAAGGCAGTACTGGGCCGCTTGTCTCCGGATATCTGATTCTTGACTCTCCTTTCCTGACAAATGTAGCCCGATCGTTCGGTATTTGCCCTCGTAAAGGTTAACCAGAAAACGCTCGGTGCGTCCTGGCTCCGCCATAGTCATGGCCCCAGCTACTATCGGGCGCTCGGCCTCAAGAGGGATGCGCGAAAGTCTATCTGCCATGACATTTTTAGTGTCAGATATCCTCTCAACCGTGTAATCGTATAACTGAGTCCGTATTAACCATCGACCGATGGTCGGGTCCGTCAGACTAAAGTCCTTCTGGAGGACAGAGGCAACCGCGGTGGGGTCTACTCTCAAGATGAACCGTCGCCCATAGATATAGTGTCTGAACGTGTCTAGACACTGGAGAACAGCTAACACTTTTTCTTGAATTGACTGTAGTTACGCTCAGCCGTATTAAGTGTCCTACTCTCAAATCTTAACGGTATTTCCTTCTCTTCAGCGTCTTTCTGAGACAGCAAACCACCTACTGAACATGGTCCAGCATCTGTGGATACTATGAAGGGTCTCTCGGTCTCATCGTCAAAGAATGGCACGCCCAACACGCGTCCTCCCTCCTTAAATTCGGCTTTAAGTTCTTGCATAGCGAGTTCCTGCGAAGAATCCCAGTAGAATTTCTCAATTTTTCGAAGGAATAGTCTCAATGGCTCAGCCTTCTCCGCATACCCTCGTATGAATATACGCCAGTAACCGACCACTCCCAGAAACTGTCGGACCTCGGTTGGACTATGTAATGGTGACGGTCAGTTCAGGAGTTTGTCTAACCTCGCCGGATCTGCTCGGCGTCCCCTCGAGTCACAGATAAAGCCTAAGATCTTAATAGTCGAGACGGCCCATCGGCTCTTTGTTCCGCTGACTGTTAAACTCGCTTCGTCCAGCTGCTCGAGTAGCGCAAATATTTGTTAGGTGCTGCTCGACGAATCTTCTAACTCCAGGTACAACCTCTATCTCATCCCTGTCTACTGGCCCTTTTATAGAAAAGTCATCCAAAAAAACTTCAACCTTATCAGGGATGAAGTCCTTGAGGACGGCTACCACGGCTCTCTGAAAAACGGCTACCCCATTAGTCCAACCCATAGGGACAACCATCATCTATATTAGTCTCAATGGCGTATGCACAGCCGTGAGGTGCCTTTCTCTAGGGTCAAGTGACACCTTATCATACCCAGAGAACAGATCACAGACCGAATAAATCGACCTACCTGTGGCGCCTTCTGCCAGTAAATCGGCGTGTGGCACGGAGCCCACGTCTCGTATCGTCACCGCGTTGACCTTCTGAAGGTCCTGGATCCATCGGATCTTGTCATTCGACTTTCGTAGGAAGAACCATCGATTAGCATAAGCGCTCTCAGACGGCTCCGCCACATGGGAAACCATCTTTTCTTTCAAGAAAGCGATAACTTCTTCCTTCTCCTTCTGGGCGTATTTCTATCCCGCGTCATTTCAGGGAACATATTGTATCGTGTAAATCCTTGCTGGCTTAGCGTATCGAGGGTCAACCCTACCGCGCTCCGCGTCACTAAAAGCTATGGCCTTATCACATGTCTTCAGGATTTCTATCACACGTTCTCGCTCCTTTGGGGTCAAATTCCCATATCCGATGTCCATCCCTGCTATCCTCTCTTCCGTTAGGCATTGCGTCTCCTTTCTCTTTCTTTCTTTGATTTCTTTCGCGATCTCTTCTTCCGATATCCCTTCCTGGCCAGATCGTTCGCGGCCCACCGCCGCTGGCTTAACTTTTTGAGCTACTTGCTTGTGTCGCTTGGGTAGCCCCCCATAGGGGGCTGTGCCCTTAAAAAAGACACTCATACCACACCACCAAATTCCTCATCTTTTTCCTTTGGGTACGAGTTGTCGTCCACTATTAGCCGATTCCCTAAATCTTTCACCTCTACGATCCGACCTTCTTCCTCTGTGAGCAGTGGTCCATATTTCTTCTTGCGAAATCACACCGCGTGGACGGAGATAGGTAACGACTTAATCTGATCACTAGGTCTCGCACCCACAGCGAGAGCTGCTCTGTTTCTCGGGTCCCGAGGCTCCACTGTCTCAATCATTACCCGCGTCCCGTCTGGCTTCTTAATGGACAATGTTTGACTTCCATCAGGTCGCTCTATCGTCACCTCATGCACGTGGCTCAGCCACGTTCCACCCAAGAGCAGGTCGGAGCTGCAGTTCTTGACTGCAAAGACAGGCAGGGTCACTCGTACCCCCTGGACCTCTATGGCTGCCTTGTGACAAACCCTAGTGATCTGTTGCTTTCTCCCATCAGCCGTCTCTATCTCGAATAGGTATGACCTATCGAGGCTCAGTCCAACCTGTACTGCCAGGTCCTCGTCTATGATAACAGCCTCACTGCCGTTATCGATCACAGCATCGAGTACCGCTCCATCSTTTATAATCGTCTCCACGGCCCCGCTACCAAGTATATAAAACTTGTTTGGAGGCACACCTTCCATTCCATCGAGAAGGACTGTCGCCATGCGATCCGCTCTGGTAGTCACCCCCGTTACTGCTACTGTAGAAGCTTCCACCTTAGGGGCCCCCTGACCCTCCTCCGATAGAGTTATGCGAGTCTTCCGCGTGATCATCTGTAACTCATCACGAGCCGGCTTCGATGCCGCCAGGTACTCCAGAATAGAGCACTGCATGGGTTGCGGAAGGGCCCGCCTCAGTGGGTCGACCGTGTCAATCTCATCCAGCGAACTCTTCATTAAGAACTTCTTCACTCCCCGCTTTCGCGGCGAAATGATAACCTCCTCTCCATCGACCCGCTGCCCGTCCTTTTCCGCCATCACGTAATCCGTGTCAGTCTTCTTCAATGTAGACCCTCTCGCCGACTTGGTGGCTGTCACCCTTATGGGTGTGGTCGACATATCCCCCTCAAAGGTTATCTTGATGCTCTGGCTCCTGACCGGCTCCTTTTCTTTACTCGACTTTACTCTCCTTGCTTCGACATTCTCCTTCATCGAAGGGAACATCGATACATCTTTTAGACCATCTGCCCACTTGACGTACTTGCRGTCGTCAAGCACGACAAGTCCCTCATCTATTGCCCGTTTGAGGTCTGGGCAATCTCTCTTGATATGATCTTCTCCTCTACAGTAGACGCATGAGTTCCTGGGAGTAGATGGCCTGTCGTCTGCGCTTTTAGAGATCGAACTCCTGGCTGCCTTGGGGTCAGGCGACTTGGGATATGGTTATGATGAGACGCCATATCCCCCTCTCTCATTCCGACCGCGCGAATCGTTGCGGCGGTCTCCTCCAGACCCTCCTTGCTCATATCGCCCTCGCGAATCATTCCGGCGGTCCCCCGAGTCATATCGCCCTCGTGACTCATCGCGTCGGTCCCCTCGGTTGTACCACCCCCTCGACTCGTCGTGCTGTTCTCTCGCATCTCCCCCGCGCTCAAACCGTTCGCGCGACCCATCTCGTCGTTCCGAGTCCCGATCTCCTCTTTCATACCTACCAGCTCTGTAGCCATCTCGACCCGACCTCTCGTATTTGTCGTCCCGATATCCGTCTCGGTCCGATCTCTCGTATCTGTCGTCTCTATATCCGTCTCGGTCCGATCTCTCGTATCTGTCGTTCCTATATCCGTCTCGGTCCGATCACTCGTATCTGTCGTCCCTGTATCCATCTCGTCGGCCCTGATCTGTCTCCCATCTGCCGCAGGAGTCGCCTCTACCTCGATCGGCCTCATAGCGAGGGCTTTGCGGGGAATCATCCAGCCTCCTTGCTCGCGCAAACGGCTCGCGATCTCTGCGGTCTCGGTCTATCTCATCATCCCTACGTCGCCATGACTCATCGTCTCTCTCTCTTCCCTTTGTACGATAATCAGTCGGCGTTCGAGGATTTCTATCCTCAACACTCCTCCAGGAATCGTTGTTCCTACGGTCTCAGCGAAGTGAATAGGGCCCTCCAGGTTTGTCYCGGTAGGTCGTGGCCCCTGTAGTGGTCACAATCTCTGTAACCTGTTTCGTCAATCCCTTCACCATGTCCCGTATCTCCTTCACTTCCTCATTCACAGCCTCATTCTTCTCCGACCAGGGATAGTCCTTGAAATCAGGACATCTATCCGTGGCATACTCCTTGTAGAGAGAGAAGTCACGTCTCCTCATCCCTCTCCACGTCGGAGATCTTCTGGAAACGCATCCCAAATGCCCGTACGCTCTCATCTTCATCTTGAGTCATTGTTTCAAGGTCCTTGATGGAATACTTGTTATCCCCCAATTTGTAAAGCTCAACGAGGTTCTTCTTGTACGTAGTCCATTTCCCATCCTTCGGTCGAGCTTCCTTAACTTCCCTACCGARACTTGGGTCCACATTAAATAGGAAGTTCTCTATAATCTCTTCCTYCGACCACTGACTCCGGCTGGCGTGAAACTCCCACTTCTCCAGATATTATGTGATACCATAGCCCCTGAAGGTAGGAGGCTCTGAGGCCTTGTGCGTAATAATATAGCGATCCTTGCCCTCGTAAGGGAGCGGATGTGACTCCCCTGTCTGGGGGTCGAAGACTCGCTTGGGCAGCGCCCTGTCTCTATCTCTGTCCCTCCAATAAGAGTCCCTCAAACTCTCTCTCCAGTCGTCTCTGTGCCTGTCCGCTATGGTGTCCCTCCGCTCGTACTCGGGGGAGCGTCGCTTCATCGCTTCTCGTCGTCCGCTCGAGGTACCCGTCTTTAGAGCCTCCTGCGGCTCTGTCGCAACTGGTTCGCCCCTTGCGTCGGGCCCTCCGTCATTGGTTTGGTCAGCCCATTTCAGCGGTGCTTCTACCCTAATTCGTTCCTCCAGATCCCTCTGAGCTCGATCGGGCGATGTCCTGTACTCCTCTCCTGCTTCGCCCGTGGTCGGTTGTGGCCCCATCGTGTCGGGTTCCATTGGATCGCCAGAAGACGCAGTTAGGAATTCTAGCCAACTATTACAGCCCGACCCTGTGACAGTCGCTGCAGCCCGGACCTGTGACAGTTGCGGCAGCCCGGACCTGTTTCCTTGTCACGGCTCGCATCCGCCTTTAATCTTAGCTTTCGACTGCCTTGATTACCACTTCCAGTATCCCGTACCGGTCGCAGATCTCGTTCTCTCCCTCTATCCTTAGAATCTCTGTGTCTAAGTAAACCTCTCCTTCGGGATTGACCAACAAGGCCGTGCCTCTCCGGATCTGCAGTACACCCGTGACAGGACCTCTATCCTTGAGACAGATCGCAGTCCCAAACCTAGCCAATGCCTCCTGATTAAGACCCCTCAAGAGTCTCCGAGCGTCTATCTCCGTCCTTCTTGCTAGTTCTCCTAGCCCTGTCCTGAATCGGTTAGCCCGCTAAAGCCCACTATCCTTCCAACAGCTTCCAATTTCTATTTCCACTCCCTTATCTCCCAGACGGGTACGAGGTCATCTGTCTAGCAGCCGAGGTAAGTTAGTGCTATAACCACTTGTAACCTCATCGCCGACCGCTCCAATATGTCATAAAATGTCTCAAAGTCCCACTTATCTCCACCATCCTCTATCGCCTCTAAAGTCTTTATTGATTCCTTCCAGTACCGGTCGAGAGCGGCTAACAACCGGTGTATGGCACCGTCTGTTACAACTCTCCCTAACTCTCCAGCTTTCCTGGCTCCGCTTATCTTCAACCTCTCAGCCTCTCTGGTCGTCTCGTACCATGCCCTTATTCGCAACCGCCCTTCAAAGGGTGTTACTCGGAGTACGTATTTTATCCTCCGTTTTCCTTCTATTCCAATCCAAAGTCCTGTCCCCCTGGCCTCACGCAGGGCACGTGTTCACATGTTACTGAAATTTTTATCCAAACTTTGCTAAACACATGCATATACGACACAGTTTACGGGTTCTATAATTTTTCCTTCCAGAACTATGCTAAAGATGAATGTGTCCATTTTGCCGACAATAAGGACAATCGTACACGTCTTTGCTTCAACCAGTAGAAAATGTAACTGATTTCTTCCGTCCATGTGTTTACGTTTTTCTATTGAAAAAAATGTCTAACATATCATCCCGATGTTCGACGGTCTATGATATTTTGTCATAATTATCAAACATATAATGAACCTGACTGTGCACTAAGCATTGTATCCTCATATCGAGCTCTTTCCTTAGAGCATGATCATGGGATATTCGAGTTTTGAATCGCCCAAGCGATCCGGCGAGTGTAGGGTTGTTGAATGCTTCCTGAGACGTCAGTGTGCCATTGTGAAACTCTTCTCTAGCAAGGAACAATGCGTTGATTTTTTTATCGCCCACCTTGGCCGCTGTGAAAAGTGTCACAACGGTGGTGTTACGATTCAGCACCCGGACTCGACCATAAAAATCTACAACGATCGGGAAGTGCAGTTGCGGTTTTCGGATGCAAAACTAAACATATTGTTTGGCGTGTTTGATATCCTGCTGTGACCATTGCTGCTTGACACAAAATGTTTTCCACACGTCAATYATATCCATCGGTGTAACARGGTCTTCGGTACTGTCCTTGCCGTCGGCCTCTATATCGACTTTTTTCTCCGATGAGTACAAGTACCAGAAGTCTCTGCCTTCGTCACTACRAAGCTCAATGCCATTGTCTCCCATTACCCAATACGCAGGGATTTCAGCGTMTGGCGCGACCCTTTCGACAAGSTGCAAATAGCGAGAGTCTATGCAGACGATATCGTGTTCSCATAAATTTTTGTCGAATATTATGAGATCCAAGGCCGTTGTATTTGAACTGTTGCCTTGTGATGAAGTGYCWGTCGATGATGTATTGTCGTGCGACGTATCTTGGTCGACATTCATCTTGCAAGGCGAAAATATTATACCATATATTTCACATTTGTTACTTTGTGCACATTCATTTGCTGTTGTCTCTTTAACAATTTGCAAGCTTCAACACCCTCCCCTTCATTANATTATACCATATATTTCACATTTGTTACTTTGTGCACATTCATTTGCTGTTGTCTCTTTAACAATTTGCAAGCTTCAACACCCTCCCCTTCATTAATAGTAAGAGGCCAGCTCTCATCACACATGCTCATATAATTCAATTTATGGTAAAATGAGCATTATACGTATTTTCTGTTATCTGCAATCGAATCAGAAACGCATTAATATATATATATATTTTTTTTTTCGACCATTTTATCAATTATATGTCGGCGCACATCACTTTTGTTTTTTTTTTTCTGGTTTTACTTATAAAAAAAAAAAGGTCCGAATTGTATACGCATTCATAAAACTATTAAAGAGTCATTGTACACACACACACAAATACACACACACGCATGTTTGTACTTTGTGGACGTTGGTTTAAAAATTAACATTTCATTAGTCATTGTGATATCTGTCTATTCAATCAACATGCCTCAGTTAGTGAAATATGTTTAATAATAGTTGTATGACTTGTATGCGTCCGCGCATGCAATTATTGCCACGATTATAAATGCCACTGCCCGCATATCCTCTTCGCAGCATTTAAAATTGACACCCACTGTGATGCAATTTCTTACCCATCTAACATGCACGGAGGTATCGCCGTTTGAGACATGCTACTAAACTCCTTTATGAACGCGAAATAATTTAAAAGCAACTTCTCTTCTCGCATCAATTCCGTTTTTTTCCCCTCAATAATTTCCACAGCTTTCTTATAACACTCCTTGTATTCTAGCTGCTTTGTCACTGTTCCTTGTCGTTCATAAATTTGCACGTCATATATATCAAGCTCTGTGAATCTTACGACAACCACGAATAATTTTGCTTCTTCCACTTCACATTTGACCATCGACATGTATTCAAATGGAAATTCCCCGCTGTTCGTGATTGTCTTCATTGCTTCCGGCACCGCTTGATTGATAACAGTTACTATTGCCTCCTGAACACCTTTTGTGTCCCACAGTTACTAAAATAATTATCGCTTGTTTCACAACCCTGCACGTTTTGCATGACCACAAACATGATTGTATGTGTATTCAAATTAGATGTTTTTACTTCTTGTATTTACTTCCATGTTTTTTTAAATGCGTGATACTTTAATATTTCACTAACATTTCTCATATCCAATGATTATTGTATTGTTTTTTTTCAATATTGCATTACATACTTTGTCCAATATCTTATAAAGTATCCCTTGTCGTTCAATTATTGCAACCACATCGTATATTATATGTGATAACAAATTGTACACTTTGATAACAAACATGTTTATAAGCATATATGTCATATTTTGTATGATTTTTTTCACTCATAGTAATACAAACGTGCGCAGCACAATGCGCATTTGTATTTTTCTCAGCAGCTCTTGTCTATCTATAATCGTTGCCTCCTTCGAATAAACATAGGTTTTCACATCCCTACATGCGAATAATGGTTGTGTGAGTCGATCGGTCATTGATCAATTGTTATCATTTCCTTGATTTTCCACCATTTCCTCGCCATTGCACTTCGATTGGTCATTGACCAGTTGCTACCTCACACATGCTCCGCATTCACGTTCTCGTACGCTAGATAACTTTATCTACTTCACATTTGTTCGGCCTAGCCAGCACAATGCACAATTGTCTTTTTTCGACCAGCTTTTGCCTATCCGTAATCGTTGCCTCATACGATCAACACAGGTTTTCATATTCCTATATTCCAATAATGGCTACGTGAGTCGATCGGTCATTGAGCAATTGTTATCATTTCCTTGGTTTCCCACCATTTCCTCGCCATGACACTTTGATTGGTGATTGACCAATCGCAACCTCACACGTGATCCACACTCACGT